ACTGCTTAAGACTGCACAGCATCCAAAGCAGGACATTTTCTGAGGTAAAGAAGAGTCAGCAAACTCATGGTGTCCAAACACTTATCTTCCACCTAATATCTCGACTTAGCCCATGCAGAATTTTTCAGTCCTTAGGTGACTTTCTGTCATCCCCTTATTTTCAGATCCACACCAGAGCAGGCTGGAATTTTGTGTGTAGTTCACAGTTGTGCTTCTCTCTCATGTCAGTGCGGCACAGACAATGCTGTGTCATTGTGTGTGTGTGTGTGTGTGTGTGTGTGCGCGCGTGTGTGATTGTGTGTTGTTGGGATTAGCTTATGTTTCTCCCCACCCCTACAGGGTCTGGAGATACTATGAGGTTCATGTTCACAGACTCAGGACATCTGTAAATATGTTTGACCATGAGATGTGCCCTGGAAGTGGGATGGGAGCATTAGAAGGCCCAGAAATGTCCAGGAAAGAGCATCCTATCCCTGTCACCCTGAGTACCTGTCCATGTATGGAAGGCTATTTCTAACTTTCACTTATCCCTAAGAACTCTTTGGTTCCTTGTGACACAATTATTCTCATCAGCTCCGATATTATCAATTTATATTCTGACTTCATTGTTGTCCCTAAACTTTTTTAGGCCCTATATTAAAACTTCCTCTTATAACATATTCCATTGTACAAAGGTGACAAAATGGTGCTCAGTCTGTCTCTGTGTTCACCTAAAGCATTTTCTCTCTGCCATTAAAGGGCTCTTTCCCCCCACTTTCTAGATCCCGATGCTCACAAGACTCCTGCACATGACAAACCCGTGCCATCCTAGAATTTCTTCAGGTTTCATTCATTGTCTTGTAAGCCAACCATAGGATATCACCAAAATGATGATTCTTGCAATGCCAGTCTTCAACACCAGGAAGCAGAGAGAGTTGAAGATGAGCTTCTGCTGGGCTCAGGAGCTGGGCAGGGAGAAAGGCCCTTCCTTTGAATGCCGGGGGGATGACACCCGAAATATCCACTAGGGCAGTGGTTCTCAACCTGGGGGTCATGACCACTTGTGGTCGCATATCAGCTATTCTTCATATTAAATACTTACATTGCAGTTCATAATAATAGCAAAATTACAGTTGCACAGTAACACCAAAACCAATTTTATGTTTGGGGATCCCTATAACATGAAGAACTGTATTAAAGGGTTGTAGCATTTGGGATGTTGGAGACCATTGTATTGAACTTCTGCTGGGCATGTACACACACACACACACACACACACACACACAGAGAGAGAGAGAGAGAGAGAGAGAGAGAGAGAGAGAGAGAGAGGCAGAAGAGCCAGAATTTCATTGTCTTTCAAAGAACCTGCCATGAACTAACAGGAAGTATATCAGGAAGTGATCCTAAGATCACCATACGAGTAAGGGAGCCTGAGGGTGGACTCACTGCTCTATGAGTCTTGACAACATAGAGGTGTCATGAGGATGAGGTCACACTTAGAGCTCCTGCCATCTCACTTCTCTCCAACTGTGGCATCTTGAGTGTGTTCCTACCCACAGAAGCCCCGTGGCTTCTCCTGTTACAGCTTTCTGCTCCCTATGTTTTTACTCCCACACCACGTTGGGTTGGCAAGTAAAAGGGCCAGGGATTATGGTGACTCCATGTTGAGGTCAGGGATCCTGATTCCAGAAGGACTCCAGATGCCGTGCCATGTCTATCCAAGAGGCCATGGAAGGAGGAGAAACCGCACAGTTGCTTTTGCCCTGCCTGCTGGCTATTGGTTCCCTGTTGGCTTCTGCCTTATCAGTTGTGCTGCAATAAGAACTTTGTCCCACTCAATCAAATTTCCACACCCACACCCCGAGAGGTATAAATTCCTGCCCGGGCAAAGCCTACCTGTTCTGCTTCCTGTTGTTGTAAGACTGTCATCTTGTAGCAGCACAGACTTAGCCCTGGCATTCAACATGCTGCTCAATAGGCTTCCTGGCTGGCTGTATGCTGTGGCCTGTGGGCTCCTGCTTCTTCTCCTCCACGTGCATGGTGAGACTGTCTAAGTGAGCAGAGGGACCAGGGTCAGAGCTGCCCAGTTCTGCAGAGTCAGAGGCTGAGCTTGTGGGAGGGAAGGCACCAGGGAGGGAGGAGCTGGTGGAGGTGACAGATGAAAGTGTGGATTTTTGAGCCTTCCAATGCCCACACTAAAGCCCACAGGATGGGCTGCATTGTACAGGAGTGTCAGGGATGTCTAAGGTTACCATGTACTTAAGGAGCCAGAAAGGACAGAAGAGCATAAGGGACATGTCACTCCTCTGTACATAGTTGTGGCTAGAGCTCTAACTGACCTTGGATAGTGACAATAATTCCTTCCTAATTCCAAGTGACTCTGAACCGGTCATTTTGTTGACTACAGAAGTACCCTGTCAGATTCAAGAGAGTCAATGGGCAAGGTTTCCAACCGTAGGTAATCATCTCCACATCCCACAGGCAAACTGAGAGAACCCAAGTTACCTTCCCCGGGTAACTCTGTGACAACAAGGTAGGAATTCCCCAGTGCGGTGACAACTGATGACTTCTCTCCACCTACAGGCAAGGACTCAGCCAGCCCCATCAGGAACACACACACAGGGCAGGTGAGAGGAAGCCTCGTCCATGTGAAAGACAGCGATGTTGGTGTCCACACCTTCCTGGGGATTCCCTTTGCCAAGCCACCTGTGGGACCACTGCGCTTTGCTCCCCCGGAGCCCCCTGAGCCATGGAGTGGTGTGAGAGATGGGACCTCCCATCCGGCCATGTAAGTTTTGGGGCCCAGGAGACTTCAGGCCTGAGCTCTGGGCCACACTACTGTGCTTCCTCCATCTCAGCTCTACAGCAGTGTTCTGTCTGTCCTGAGGTCATCTCCCATGCAGTTTTCAGAGGAATGTGCTAAGAATTAGAGAGGAACAAGGGTGCCAGGCTCCTGGGTCAGAGCTTGGCACCTGTAGGGACTTAGCTGCAGGTACTGCAGTGAGGAGCAGAGACTAAGGCCATTCTTCACGGTCACTGTGACCATCCACTGTCCAGGTGACATAGAATAATAAACCAGTGCACATGCTTTCCACTGTGAAAAGACAATGTGAAAGAAGGAGGTACCGTGAGAGTTTGGAGTGAGATGGAGAATGTCTCTCTACCCTATGGTGTTGTCCTTTCTTCCCTGTAGCTCTCATGTGGGCACAGAGCCCCAGTACCCAAGTAATGTAGTTTGGTTGTTGTTGCTGTGATAGAGGACCCTGACAAAAGCAATGTAGTGAAGAAAGATTTTACTATGAGTCACAGTTCCAGGAAAACTACAGAGGCAGAAGGTTAAGGAGCTGATCACAGCCCTAATCAGGAACAGAGCCTAAGTGGGACATCTTGTTTGATGTTGGCTCATGGGTGCTGCAATAGAGAGGAAGCTCACCAAGACGCTAAGCTTCAGTTTCTGGAGGAACTGGCTGATACTCAGCTAGCTCACTCTACTCATAATCAAAAGCAAGAACTCCAGGTCTGCCAATGTCTTAGGATGAAGTTCAGTGCAGCTGCAAGCTCTCAAGGAGAACCAAGTGTAGACTCTCCAGAGAAACAACATTTCTTCAAGGTTTAAACAATCTCAAAACAATTTCTCGGCCTCTACTGACTAATCCTAACATAGCAAAGGGATTGGCTGAATCATTTCTCTCAATGCCAGACACAGAGCTTTTACTACACATTTCACTTAAAGCAAATTGTAAAAGTTTGCTTCAATATCACTACAGACACATGCATGCTTGCTAATGTGCTACTTACTCTGTCCATTCTCCCACAGTTCTCAAGCCCCTTCCCAGGGAATGGTACTTCATACAACAGGCAGGTATTTCTGTCTCCATGATTATCAAGATAATGGGCCACAGGCAAGTTCACAAGATCTAGGTCAATGGTGCTCAACCTGGGTCACAACCTCCCAGGGGTCACATAGCAAATAGCTTGCATAGCAGATATTTGCATTACTACTAATAACAGTAGCAAAATTATAGTTATGAAGGAACAGTGAAATAATTTTATGGTTGACCATCACTGTAACATGAGGCTGATCTAGATCATCCCTCATTTTGATTCTTTTCTCAGGTGATTCCAAATTGTGCCGGTCATCAGTCAAAACCAACCCCCACACCAGGATTTACGTAGAACAGGAGGGATGAATGTCAGTACAGGAAGGCGACCATCTCATAGAGGATGGCAGCAGTCCCCAAATTCTAGCCCTCAGGGCGCTACTATCCAACCAGAGGCCTCCCTAAAAGTACTGCTCCATCCCCATTCCCACAGAGCTGGTGGCCTTTACCTTGGTAGGAAGGGACTTCAGAGGGGGGTCAGATGTTCGCAGGAAATCATGGAAAGCAGTAGCTGAAGGTGCCTGAGAGACAATTCAGACGAAGATTTAGGATTGATCATCACGTTCTTGGACTAACTGTCTTCCATGTTCTCCAGGTGTCCACAGACTGATATGATGAAATTAGACTTTGCAGAGACGATGAATCTGATCATGCCTCCCATGTCTATGTCTGAGGACTGCCTGTACCTCAACATCTACACACCAGCGCATGCCCATGAAGGATCTAACTTGCCTGTGAGTGTCAGAACACGGTTAGCTGGGAGAGAAGATGTTTCTTTCTCTAGAATATTGGAAAGGAAAAAGTAATTCTGAGATCTCTGTAGTTGAGACCTGATTCATAGTCTTTCTTTATTGGAGTCAAGAAGGTGATCCCAGCCATATTGAGCTGCTTAAACCTTGCTGTGTGGCTCAGAGCTATGTTGGTCTGAGAGATAAGAGGCTCTATGTCTTTGATAATAGAAATTCTTCTATCAATTTGAACCTGGCAGACCCACTCAAGAGGGTGATCAAGGACTGCATTTTGACATTACCAAAATTCCTAGCTGCAGGTTAACTGTTGTGCCAAGAGTATCTGATGTCTCTTCTGATTAGCAAACAGGAAAGACACACATGGAGACACTCCTGTTTGCTCCACTTTGATGGGACTGAGAATGATGATGTCATTACTTGTGGTGTAAAACCATTAATCTATGCTGAGATTTCCTGATGAGGAAGTGGAAAGGAAAATATGTTTATAGTCCTAGAGTAACTTATTTGTAGACCATGTCCTGAAATCCCGAGGAGATCTGCGTGTAAATTGGTCTGCATAGAGGCAAAGCACTAGATAATCTAGTAGGCAGTCCAGTTGATCTGGGGCTGGGTGTGGTCCTCCTGAGATCTGTGTTGATGTCTCCAGGTAATGGTATGGATCCATGGTGGTGGACTGGTTTTAGGAATGGCTTCCATGAATGATGGATCCAAACTGACTGCTACTGAGGAAATAGTAATTGTTGCTATCCAATATCGCTTGGGTGTCCTTGGCTTCTTCAGGTAAGTCTGGAACTGGGCAGGACAATGGGGTCTGAATTGAACATGGACAGATCTGTGATTCCTGTCCCTGCCCCTTCTCAGTACTGGAGACCAGCACGCCACAGGCAACTGGGGTTACCTGGACCAAGTGGCTGCCCTACGCTGGGTCCAGCAGAACATCGCTTACTTTGGAGGCAACCCTGGCCAGGTCACTATTTTTGGTGCTTCAGCAGGAGGAACAAGTGTGTCTTCACTTGTTGTGTCCCCCATGTCCAAAGGACTCTTCCACAGAGCCATCATGCAGAGTGGAGTGGCCCTGCTGCCTGACCTTATCTCTGACACCCATGAGAGGGTCTACACAGTGAGTGTCCTCATCAATACCAGTCCTTACTTTGCTTTTTCAGTCCTTGCCTGTAGTATTCTGTTAATCTCTTAAGTGGGATAAGCAAGAATTATGAGAAATAATTTCTTCCCATTAATTTCTGAAAGGCATAAAATTTAGACTCCACCTCCCCCACCCACTTTACCCATGATGGGTATGTTATATGACATAAAAACTGTGCACAGTGGCTTCCATCACTGGCAAAAACAGATATGTTTGATTCTTATTGCTGTAAGAAAGACCATGACCAATAGATACTTGAGGAGGAAAAGGTTAACTTCAGCTTACAGTTTATAGTCCATCTGGAAGGGAAGTCAGAGTAGACATTCAAGCAGGTTGTTAGAACCTAGAACTGAGGCAGAGGCCAGAGAGGAGCTCAACTTACTGACTTGTTACCCATGACTTCCTCAGTTCACTTTCTTAAGCAGCCCAGGACACCTGTCTGTGGGTGGCACTGACCACAATATGATGGAGCCTCCTATTCCAGTCAATTATCAGGAAATGCCTGGAATGCATATGGGCCAATCTGATAGAGGCCTTTTCTCCATTGAAGTTCTCTTTCAAGACTCCCCTGGCCTGTGTCAAGTTGGCAAAGAAAAAAATCTAACCAGGCTTTCTGTGCAAGTGTGAGGCCCCAAGTTCAAATCCCCGGAGCCCACAGAAGACTAGAGGTGGTGTCGGTAAACCCAGTGCTCCTAAGCAGAGATGGGATGTAGAGAGAATAGAATCCCTGAAAGGTCATAGTTCAGCTAAGCTGTTGTAGACAAATGCAAACAGGGGGTAAGGTGACAAGTGACACCTGAGGGTGTTCTCTGACCTTCACTAGCAAAATGTGATACACCATACCTATGGTCACTCATGAACAACAAACACACACACACACACACACACACACACACACACACACAACCAAACATAACAACAGCAAGAAAAGAAATACCCAGGTAAAATGATCCCTTTCCCAACTGTCAATTCTGAGCAAAAAAAAAAAAAAATAATGTGAACAATTCCACTTAAGTCCTTTCCTACACAGGAAACAGTAGAATGTGGTATTTAGGGGCAATGATAATTACTTGGAATCAAGGAAACTCTGCTCCCTGCTGGTAGAGATGAGCCAACCAGTGCCTTTTTTGCTTACAGACAGTAACCAAACTTTCAGGATGTGAGGCCAAGGACTCAGAGGCTCTGGTGCACTGCCTACGAGACAAGACTATAGAAGAGATTTTGACTATCAACCAGGTTGGAAGAATTGTGTGACTTGGAGGATCTGGTCACCAGCATGTGGGGTGGCTAGTCCTTACTAGTTGAACCAGTTAACTTGTGTTTTGTTAACTAAATACTGTGTGCAGAAAAAACAAATAGGCTAATTTTGAGGTTCATTTTCTTCTGGAGTGAGCATGGCATCCTTGGACGAGATAGGAAATGGGGAAATCATGTGGATGTTCAGTGGGCATCAGAATATTTATGTGATTGATCTTCAGCACTGACTCTTAATGCCCCATAGGTCTTCAGGGTGATATCTGGTGTGGTAGATGGGACGTTCCTACCTAGGCACCCTCGGGAGCTGTTGGCCTCTGCAGATTTTCACCCTGTCCCCAGCATCATTGGTGTTGACAGTGATGAGTGTGGCTGGGGAATCCCCTTGGTAAGACCTAATTCTAAGCCCCTGGGAGCCTAAAATCAAATGGTAGGGTGGCAGGAACTCAGAGATACTTTGATCTAGAGACAACCCATCCTATACTTAAGACTCTCCTCTACTTCCCAGTTCATGGACTTTGATCATGTCATAAAGAACATAACCAGACAGACCCTGCCAGCTGTTCTAAAGAGCAGAGCCGCACACATGGTGAGAGACCTTGGCTTCTTCCCTGATAAAGAGGGTTCCCATAAATTTTTCTCTGATGCCACACCCAGAAATAAAAGTCAATGTATGTGTGTGTGTGTTTCTGTGTGGACTCACCCCAAGGCTCATACCGTTCCCCATACCCTTTCTCATCCCTGGCCACATTCCTTACTCAGAGGCTTCTGTCTATCTATGCAGGAGCCTGTCCTACATCACTTTTCCTGATTCCTCCTGATGTAGATGCTGCCTCCTGAATTTAGTGACCTGCTGATGGAAGAATACATGGGGGACGTTGAGGACCCCCAGACCCTGCAAGCACAGTTCAGAGAATTGATGGAGGACTTCATGTTTGTGATCCCTGCACTCCAAGTAGCACATTTTCAGCGTGAGTATATCCTTAACAAGACCAAGGGCAGGGGGAGCTCAGAGCTGTGAGTGCCAGATGGCATCTCTTGTGTACAGGCCTGACCCATGTCTTCATCAGCTATCTGATGCCAGGCACCTGAGGACACTTGCCTCAGTAATTCCTTAAGTCTAGCATAAAAGAGAGACATCTTATTTGGTACTGTATGGGAACAAAACGTGCTACTTACTCTTGGTGTCTTGCTAAAACTGCCCATCTGGGAGTGCCAGCATTACTGTTTAACAAGTTTCCCATAGTCGATGTCCCAGTCTGGAGCTTGCCACTCAACTGTGATTCCAGATAACTCTAGAGCAAGGTCTCTTGTCACCAAAGGTTGTGTAGAAAAAGCTTCATGTGAGAGATCATTATGTCAATATTTGTCCTCACTCCCAGGTTCCCACGCTCCTGTCTACTTCTATGAATTCAATCATCAGCCAAGCTACATCAAGCATGTCAGGCCACCCCATGTGAGGGCTGACCATGGTGATCACGTTCCTTTTGTCTTTGGCTCGCACCTTTGGGGCATGAATGGTGAGTCATCCTTGTTTTCCTTGAGCTGAATAGAGGCCCTGATGAGTTCCTGAGGGAAGGCTGAGCTCTCAGTGCAGGTGAGGAAACTGAATCTCTAGGAGAAAACAGGATCCAGTAGGTGTTCACTATTTCTGAGCTGAAAAATAAATAAGACAAAACAAAAAAGAAACCAACCAATACAAACTCTACCAGAGTTAGAATATGAACCTTCTTTGTCTATCTTGTGCTAGAAGGAACGAGAGCACACTAGGGTAGGAGTGAACCTGAGAGGATTCAAGTAGAGGCACAGATGGATTCTGAGTGCTTATGGAAGAGTTTAAACTAGACCTAGAAATCAGGGTCAGGCTATAGCTGCTGTAGTAGAATATGAGTTGGTACCTCCATGAGGTAGCTAGGACCTGAATCCTTGTCTGCTTTTGTCTGCAGTTGAACTCACTGAGGAGGAGAAGCTGCTGAACAGGAGGATGATGAAGTACTGGGCCAACTTTGCAAGACATGGGTGAGAACATGTCCCGCCCTCAACCTCTTTATGGTTGGGTCTCCATTCAGGGCTCGATATGGATGTGTCTCATTAGCATATGTAGGCTCGTAATTACACCATAGTCTTTTCCAGCTTGGGGCACACTAAAACAAATATCACCTAGATTTAGTTTCTTCTCATCCCACAGAGACCTGGTGTGTGAGTCACAGTATTGTAGTACTGTTCTTTAGATTTTCCCTCTCAGAGAAAGATACAAACTAGATAGTTTCCCTTGCTTCATATGGATGAGACACTAGTGAGTGTCCTTTGTCTTCTGCATCTGTACATCAGTCCTCCTGCACCCTCTGGCCCTTGGCCTCCTCATCCATTGCTCTGAACCAAATCAAGGGATCAAGTCTTGGATGAGAGTGACCTCACCCTTCCTTGTTGGCATCTTATCCACAGGAACCCCAACAGTGAGGGTCTACCCTACTGGCCTGAGTTGGTCCATGATGAGCAGTACCTGAAGCTGGACATCTATCCTGCTGTGGGCCGAACCCTGAAGGCCAGAAAGCTGAAGTTCTGGACAAAGATTCTGCCTCAGAAGATCCAGGAGCTAAAGGGGGCTCAGGTCAACCATGTGGAGCTTTAGTGTCAGTTATAAAAATGATGGGTGTGGTTGAGGGAAGTTGCGGACATCCTGAGATTTAAAAGTGCATTTATTTTTCTTTATTTGTTCCAACACTCACACAAGCATTTTTAACCTCAGTATTTGGTCTTTCACATGTGTATGACAAACCCTCTGTGTGGTATTCATCCTTCTGGACATATTTTATTAGACTCAATAAATGGTCCCACAACCATATGGATGTGTGTTCCCCTCATCTTCTTTAACACTTCAGTCTTTTAGGCTCCCTCCTTTTTTTCTTCCTCCCATCATCTTCTCCTCATTTTCATTCTCCTTTTCTTCAAGGCTTAAACCCTCTTCAAATAAAACAGAAGCTTCAGGTACTGTTAACTTCAGGAAATCCCTTGTCCTCTCTCAGCAAGATCATGTTTTCTCATACTTCTAAGTTGCCAATAGAAATTCTGATTTCCCAAAATCCATTAACTCTATAAGTGCGGAATGCTGTTCCTAAACAATCATAAACTATAAGTTTAGGTCTTAGCATCTGTGACCTCAGATGTCTGCAGACTGAGAATGTAAGATTACATAAGCCCAGGGCAAGATAACAAGACTCACATCTCAGAAATAAAGCAAAAAAAATATAATCTCTGGTGTGGGACAATGGTCTATATTCTGTCAATTATATTTTAAATAAATGCTGATTGGCCAGTAGCCAGGCAGAAAGTATTGGTGAGACAACCAGTCAGGAAGTAGAGGTGGGTCAATGAGAGCAAGAGAATTCTGGGAAGAGGAAAACCTAGTTCACAGTCCTGACCCAGTCACAGAAAAAGTAAGATGTGATTGCCCTGCTGAATAAGGTACTGGCTAACATAGACAAGAATAATGGGCTAATCTTAGTTATAAGAGTTAATAAGAAGCCTGAGCTAATGGCCCAATCCGTTTATACCTCATGTAGAGCTCTGTGTGATTTCTTTGGGACTTAATGATTGTGGGAATCTGGCAGGACAGAAACCTCAGACAACAAATCCCAGTAATTTACAAATGGTAACAAATGTACCTTTTGTAGATGGAGAAATCCAGGACTCAGACCTCCACAGATTTGCTGTGTGGTGAGATACAGGTCTCTGGCTAGAGGTCTCCATGATTATATCTTGTGCCTTCTGCTGGTAGAATTTGTAAACAATAGCATTCCAAGGACAATATTAAGTCTCTGCTGACTTGAACTGGGGACAGGAAAGATCTTCCTGTTAGTGAGACTGACCATGCAGATTGTTTCCATTCTATATAGAGAGTATTTATTGATGTTCCTGCTGCTGGCTTGTTTCTGCTTTTCAGTTATGCACACACACAATAAACTTCCAACAGGGAGCCAGAATCTGTTCTAGACTTTTGATATTTATCTCATTTTAGTGGCTTGAGTGTAGATTGTTTCATGGACTTACGATTTGATTTTAGGGCTTGTGCGTGTTAGATAAGTACTCTATCCATGGTCTATAGCATCAGACCACTGTGAACTGTGTAAATGCTATCAGTCTCTTAGATGTATGATTTAGTTAGTCTGAAAATAGTCTCAAGGCTTGCAAGTGCCACCACATCATATTCAGAACAGCCCTCACGCCCCATCAAAAGTTTTCCTTGGGTGCCTTGCTATCATTCACTACCTTTGATCAATGTAACCAAGACACAGACAGCCTGCAACCCCCTAAACTTTCTGGGTATTCAGCAGGGGCTTCTCTCCCCGGCTGCTGCCTCTCTCTTCCTGTTCCATCCCAACTTGCTCGCAGTCAACCCTTTTCTTCTTCGGGGACATAGGATCCCCCAACTCAGCCTGCTTTGGAGCTGAGGATCTGGGGGAAAAGTGGGGAGTGCAAGGGCTCAGGAGTTGGGTTTTTTTAACTTCACATTGTATCTTTATTTTACTTTTTTAAAAAGCAAAAGCAATCTATATTATTTCATTTTACATACCAATCCCAGTTCCCTCTCCCACCCTGCCTCCAATTCCCTCTATCTGCCCACCACACTACCCCCATGCACAGAGAGGGTAAGGCACATTGCTTTGAGGAAGGACCAAGGCCCTCCCTACTATATCTAGGCTGAGAAAGGTATTTATCCAAAGAGCATGGGTTGCAAAAAAAAACCAGTACAAGCAGTGGGGATAAATCCTGGTCCCACTGCCAGTGTTCCTGGAGTCTGCTCCAACCATATAACTGCCACCCACATTCAGAGGGCCTAATTTGGTTCTATGATGAATCCTTCCCTATATGACCAGAGTTGATAAGTTCCCATTAACTTAGGTAAGCTGTTTCAGTGGGTATTCTCATTATGTTACTTAGGGAATGGAATAGTCAAGATGAGGGAAGGACAGAGACTGAGAGCAAGGAAAGAGATATCTAGATAGAGGGAGCCATTACCGGGCTAGCCAGAAACCTGGCACTAGAGAAATCCCCAAGAATCCACAAGAATGACCCCAGCTAAGACCTTAAGCAATATTAGGGTAGGTATCCAAACTGTCCTTTCCATGTAGTCAGAATGGTGACTATCTTAAGTGTCACCATAGAACCTTCATCCAGCAACTGATGGAAACAGAGGCAGAGATCCACAACAGAGCACTGGGTTGAGTTCCCAAAGTCCAGTCAAAGAGCAGGAGGAGTGAGAATGTGAGAAAAGATGTCATTTCACAATCTCAGAGAACTAAGACAGCAAAGAGGACCCTAAGAGAGACATACATGAGATCATGATGGGGTATCCACTGGATTTGAGTTTTGTGTGGGTTGATAGTTGGTTGTTAATAAAGCTGTGTGGATATTCTCACATATGATTTCTTGTGATAACACATATTCAAATTTTGGATTTATAATCTAGAACATAATTTCCAAGTCATGAGACACATGTTAAACATTTAAAAAATATGCCAGGGTTGATTATATTTCCAGAAGTGGTATAACTAGGTCTTGAGGGAGATCAATTCCCATCTTCCCCAGAAACCACCCGTCTGATTTCCACAGTGGCTGTACAAGTTTGTACTCTCACCAGCAATGAAGGAGTGTTCCTCCCATTCTATATCCTTGCCAGCATTAGCTGTCTCTTGTTTTGTTAGTCTTAACCATTCTGACAGTAGCGCGCGAACTGTACCGAGAGCGTAACACAGAATCGGGTGTGACATAGATCCATCCTTTTGCTCACAAATTTCAAGATGTCATTATTTTTTCCATGGTGTACTCCAGTGTGTAAATGCACCACATCTTCTTTATCTATCCTTCAGTCAATGGGCATTTAGGTTGTTTCCAGGTTCTGACTATGATAAATAATGTTGCAATGAACATGGTTGAGCACATGCCCTTGTGGTATGATTGAGCATCCTTTGGGTACATACCCAAAAGTGAAATTGCTGGGTGAAGATGGATGCTAAAAAGAAATCTCACACTAGCTCAGAACTGAGTATAATAAAGGGTTATTTATTTAGGGGTAGATTCACAAATCACAGTCCTCTGCATGATCGGGGAATAGGAACTGAATCCAGTAGCCAGAAGAGAGAGAGAGTATGCACTTAACATAGGTATTTATAGTATAAGAGGCCATGCCCAAGTGGACTGCTATCTTAAAGGCTACTGGCTAGAGGAGTTCCTACAGCACCTCCTTCTTTTGTTTAAATAAAAGACTTCTAAGCCTAATACAAAACTAAATACAATAAGAACAAATACCAAGTATAAAAATTAGAATTACAACAAACATAAACAATATCAAGCAAGAAACATATGATAAATGTTTCAATAATTATCCTATCCTAAAGAGTCTAAGTCTTGTATTAGAAATGACTTGGCGGCCCTGCTGAGCAGTTCTTCCCAGAGAGGTGAGTGGGTGCTAGCCTGGGCAGCCTGCCTGCCTGTCCGGGAAGGGAGGACAGCCCTTCCCCCCTCAGCTTCTGTGGCAGGGTCTTCAGTGTTCCAAGGGACCCCTCCCCTCGCCCCACTGCTGCGGGCCCTTTGTCTCCTGGGTCCTGGGAAGACCAGCTAGCCCTGTTGCCCTGCTGAGCAGTCCTTCCCAGAGAGGGCTGAGGAGCTCTATCCAGAGAGTGCTGTGAAGTCCTACCCAGAGAGTGCTGAGGAGTTCTATCCAGAAAGTGCTGAGGAGTTTCATCCAGAGTGGGGGAGATGGGCAGGCGCCAATGCAAGAATTCCTCCAACAACCTGAAAGGCAACATGACATCGCCAGAATCCAGGGAGCTCGAAACTAGAAGAATTGAACACCCTACG